TATTTTCACCAAAACAAAAAAAAAGGTCGAGAAAGGAGAGGGTTGACGTGTGGTAGGGTTGTTAACCAATGTCATAAAACAATATGCGTACTACTGTTTCATGAGAAACTATTTGTTCTGTAAACCTTCACCTGAAGTACAATAAAAAAAAAAGTTAAAAAAAAATGGAAATAATAATAATACTTTGTAGGGTTGTTGAAAGGATTAAATTAGTTACTATATATAAAGTGAAGAATACTGAGTATTGAATATACCATGGACTGCCAGAGAACGAACAAATCTGTCTTGGAAGAAGTACAGCCAGAAGGCTCCTTAGAAGCAAAGATGGCGAGATTACGTCTCACATACTTTGAACCTGTTATTATCAGGAGGGATCAGTCCCTGGAGAAGGACATCACGCTTGGTAAAGTAGAGGGTCAGCGAAAAAGAGGAAGACCCTCATCGAGATGGATTCATACAGTGGCTGCAACAAGGGGCTCAAGCATAACAACGATTGTGAGGATGGTGCAGGACGGGGCAGTGTTTCATTCTGTCGTACACGGGGTCACTATGAGTCGGAACCGACTCAATGGCACCTAACAACCTAACAACAGTATACGTAAAGCATTTCAATCACTACCTAGGGGAGAAAGTTTTCCCATTTCATATTCTGGAGACAGAGACACAGAGAGGTTACGGGCGTTGGTCGAGATCCCTGGAGCCCCTCCTAGAACAGGTTGTGCGGGCAGCCTCCTAACGGTGTCCCTCTCTGCTTTCCTACAATGCAGCTCTCCCAGTGAACATGCAGGCAGCTGGAACAACAGGCCACCCACTCCCTCGTGACCCAGCCTCATGTTAGAACCAGCCTGGAGTTCAGAGGAGGCCACGCAGCAGAGGGAACCCTGGCCAGCCCTGCCTGCTACGCGCTCTATGACCTGAGCGCATTACTCAAGCCGCCACGGCGTCTGATCCCAGGAAAGATGATGTAATGAGTCTGTCCCCCTGCCCTCCTGCCATTCTGGTATGTGGCCACACTTGAGATCATTACAAGGAAACTGGAACTATAAGAGGCCTGCAAAAGCATTTATTAGTCAATTTTTTTTTTTTTGTAATCTGATGTTTTGCAAAAGGAAAAACGTTTATTGTATAAAATGCACTGGCAAGATAATTATCCACCCAATTAGAACTGTTCCCATAAACGCTACCTGCAAAGCTGCCCTGCTCACTATGCCCATCTTCTCCCGTGCCCACCAATCACAGCGCCCCTCCACTAACGGGGCTCCAGGGAGCTGCCAACCTCTCTGCACTGCAGTCTCTCCCAAGCGGGAGGAGGGGGCCAAACTCTTGGAAGTGCCCCTGAAGTCCCACACTCTCTCTTGCCTGCAACATCGTCCCGCTATTCTCCCAGCCCACAAACTTGGCCAATTCCTTCTCCTCCTTCAGGTCCCAGTTTGGACTCTCCCTCCTCCTGGAAGTCTTCCCCGACTTTCTGCTAGTCAGAGTTGGTTTGGAATTGTCTGCTCACTTTTCTGGACCTCGTAGGGGTGTGTGAGCCCATGAGGGGAAGGGTTGTGTCTCTCTCCTTCCCGACTGGGTCCCCAAGACCCAGGGCAGTGCCTGGCTCAGAGCTGGCCCTCAGCAATACCCGGTGAATGAACGCCTAAGTGACTAAGGAAGCCAGCCGGCGCCACTTTGCAGGGATTGACCAACACGGGTTTGGCACTTGCCCATATGCCATTCTGTGGCCCTCTGGGCCTCCTCCCAGCTCCTGGCTGGGGAAATTCGATATTAGCAGAAACTTTTCAGAACTTTCAGGCTTGGGGGAAAGAAGACTGGCTCACCCTAGGAAAAAGACAACTCGAATAAAAGCTAATAATAATAACAGAACTACCAAGGCAGGCGTGTCCGCGGTCTCTCCCAAACCCTCAGGGAAGCCTAACAAGTCGGTTTTGTTATCTACATTTCACAAACAAGAAAGCCACCTAACCTGCAGGTAAAATGGTTTTCCATTCCACCAACACTCCGGGCTCCCAGCTAGGACTCGAAGCTAAGAGACTCGCATTCCCCACACCTCGGGGCTCACGTCAGAAGCAAGCCCTGAGCTGGGCGGCGGGGAGGCAGTGCCAGGAGGGGCGTGACCAGGCGCTGCCCCCAGGGCACCCCGAGTCTCATCTCCACACTCAGTGCTCTGAGCTTCCCCCCTCGGACTGTTGGACCCCCATCACCCGCCTGGGAAGCTTCCCGGAGCTGATCATGGCTGTGCAGGCCACATGCTTCCAGCCAAGTTCCTCTGCCTTTGTTCTCCCTCCCAACGTGACTTTCTCTTTAATCAGTCCGAAAGGCTGCCTGGCGGAAAGACGTTCCAGCCGAGTTGGAGGCCAAGGAAGGCTTGGAGAAAAGACAAACGTCTTTGACACCCTCCTCCTCTCCATCCCTCCCTCCCCAGCCTGGCTCTCTCGGGACAGCCCTACAGGAGACAGACAAACACAGGACAGACCTCTCGGCTCCCTCTCTGCCCTTTGCCAAGATCAGTGACTCTTGAGCATTTCAATGGCCAGGCTGAGCCGCCAAACGAGTTTCAGCAGATTAGCTTTTTCCATGAGCACTTGTAAACTGCACGTTTCTTTGGGGGCCCCACCGCTCTCTGGAAGGCGGGACACCCACCTCCCCACAGGGCTGCGAGGAACCTCCCAGCTCACAGCTGCACAAAGGAACCAGGCAGTCTCCTAACCCGTCTTCCCAAACCACTGTTGTTAGCTGGCGTCTAGTCACTTCCGGCTCTTGGCAACCCTGTGTGTGCAGAGTAGAACTGCTCCATAGGGTTTTCAAGGCTGTGACCTTTCGGAAGCAGATTGCCAGGCCTGTCTCCCGAGGCGCCTCTGGGTGAGTTCAAACCACCAACCTTTCGGCTAGTAGCTTAACCATTTGTGCTACCCAGGGACCCCCTTCCCAAATCACATCCAACTGAATTTGTCAAAAGAGATCTCTCCCCAAAGGAGAAGGCGCAGGACAAAACAGTCGGTCGTTCTCGCCAAAGTGTGCAATTGAGAGGTCTCTTTGATCCCCAACAAGTTCGGGCCTCCACTGTGAAGAAAGATCATTGTGGCCACCAACCAGGAAGACCCAGGTGCACATTCAAAGTTAAGCCCCACAGAAGGAAAATGCTTTCTTGCACAGGGGCAGGAAAGACCAGTGACGAGGATCTGGGGAAACTTCCAGGCTCTGCCTTCTCTCGGGACCTCGTTTCTCCCTCTGTAAAATGCAGCGGGGGTCTCCGGGGCACCTTCCATTTCCAGCCGGCTTGTGTGCTCTCCATTCCAAGTCCCTCTTTGGGCCTTCAAATGCGCAAGGATGTCGGAACGCCCCTCCTCCCTGCACATCTGCCGAGCTCCTGCCCGGGCACCGTCTCCTCCACGAATCCTCCCATGAGCTCCTGGGGGCCGACGGCTTCTAGTGCCAACAGTGAGCCCTACGCCCACCCACGATTCAAGACCCGGGGGGAGCCCCGCGCCTGAAACAAGCAGACCTCCCTGCAGGGAGTGAACCCCAAAAGCTGCACAGAGTTCTCCCCTCTGGGCTTCTCCTCGAATCCCCCGTGAGCATTAGCTGGAACAAGTGACCTTTTGACCGAGAGTGGTAACAGGGAAGCTGAAAGAATCTAAACTAAACAAGATACAAAGACTGAGGAGCCCGAGGGTGGTCCCGGGCCTGGGCCTCCAGCGAAACAAAACCTCAAGAAAGCTGGGCCTGGCGAATGACCCTGATAAGCCACCCGTCAGCAGAGAGCGCAGAGGTCACAGCTCTGCTCACCTCGGGTTTGCAGGACCTCTGGTCACCACCCAGGAGCTCAGCACCCACACAGAGAAGGTGCAGGCTGGGGGCTCTGAGTCAGCTAATGAAGACTCCATCCCCCTGCAGACAAGTCGGCAGGCGTAGAGTTGGCCTGCCCCAACCCCAGCAGAACATGGACCCTGGCAAAACCGCTGCCTCTGGGTCCTCTGGGCCCCAGAAAGACAGGCAGGGCTGAGGTGGCCAGGCCCAGTTCGCCAGCAGGAAGCTATCACCCTGAAGCCTCCAGGCTGCTCACTTCCTCCCTGCATCCCTCCCCATGACTGACTGTGCGCCCCGAGCAAACTATGGTTCCCCATCCCGAGTCGGTTTTCTCCTCAGCAAGGGGGCACAAAAGCCCCTACGGGGGTGGGGGGGTGGGGCAATGAGCAAAGACAAGCTAACCCGTTGCAAAGTGCAAGGCGCCGGGGAGGTTCGGTAACCACCAGCGCGCTCCCCTGATGGCCGGCGCTGGCACGGAGGGGCACTAGGATGAGAAGCGTGGACGTGACACGTCCTGCGGCAGATTGTGTTTGGGGAGCCCTCGTTTAAACAAATCTCAAGGCAGAGCGGCCTCCAGCCGGCCGGGGTAAGGAGGAGGGAACCTCGCCTGGGCCTCTGCTGCCGCGCAGCTCACAAACCCGAGGGCTGCGCCGGGCGCAGCGCGGGGCGCGCACGGGCTCCGAGTGGCCGGCCGCTCCAGAACTTTCAAGGAGCCCGGGGCCGGGTGGAGGTACACTAAAGCCGGGGCGCCCGCCTCCCGATGCGCGTCCCCCGCGTCCCTACCTCGGGCTGCCAGTAGCGAGAAGGCGCCGAGCAGCAGCAGCTGCAACGGGACCCGGCGCGACGGCGCGGCGCGCTCCATGGGGCCGGCGGGCGGGCGGACGCGGAGCAGACAAAGGCGTGGGTGCGGGGCTGCTGTGTGGTTCCGCGGGGAAGGGCCCCAAACCCTCGTGTCAGGGCGGCGCGATGGGCAGCGGACTCCACGCTCCGGCCGAGCCTCTGCAGCCAAAGCTGGGCCGGTGCCGCGCGGTTCAATTATCCCGCCCGGAGGAGGGCGCTGGGAGGGCGCGACGGAGGCGGGGCGTCTGGGCTCCGTCCCTCTCAACCATCCACCCCTCCTTAGAGATCTGAGGCCTCCTTCCCTCCCCGGCCCCAGGGGGCGGGGCAGGGCGTGCTGGCCCCACACAGCTGTGTCTGGGAGGGAGGACCCCAAAATTTTTCCATGGGGTAGCAGAGGAGAAGGGTGGTCTATTGGGCTGGAGATGCTGGGGTCCAGCAATGCACTCGGTCCTGTCCTCCTCCCTCCCCGCCTCGCGCGAATGAAACTCGATACTCACCCCACCCTGAGGGCCTGAGGGGCGGGGCGGGCTTGGTATTAAAGGTTAACTCGGCCTGACCCCTGACCCCAAGGTAAGGGCCTGGCAGGGAGTTGGAGGCAGCGATGGTCCCCGTGGGAGCCCAGCCAAGGATCAGAGGCGCCTTCAGAGGGGAAATAAAGGCGGTGCCATCTCAGACAAAGCCCTGCTCCCACCATCCTCTTGTTTCCACCGCCCTGCCCTCACTAATCCCCCCGGGTCTGTAGGTCCATGCTGACCCCAGTGGTGTCCAGGGCTGGGACAGGGTCCTGCCCTCGGGGGACTGCCAGTCTGCTGAGACAGACAGACTCTAACCAACCTCCCAACACAAGTAGAACGTGAGGGGCTAACGGGTTAACAAAGTGTGGCCGGGGTCCAGGGGAAAAAGAGGTTCGTTTTGACCGGGAGATCACGGCAGCCTTTGCTGTGGGCCATGTCCTGGTGTAGGCATCCATGGCCACAGCCAGCCGGTGGTCACCGAGGAGGGATGTGTCTGCTGGAACCACGCGTAGATTAAAAAACAAAACAAGAGCAGGCAAGGATGCAAGGCAATACGGCCCAAGGGGACACAGCTCTGGAAAACCAGCAATCCCCCTTGGGCCACGGCTCTGGAAAACCAGCAATCCCCCTCCCTGGCGGAAGTGCGTGCAGGTGCGTGCCAAAAGCCACGTGCTAGAAAGTCCATAGCAGCAGCGTTCATGCTTGCTTCCAATTGGAAACTCCCCAACATCGAGAGACTGAATGAACGGTGTGTCCACACACTGGAGCACTATGCAGCTGTGACAAATGACCGAACTACCGCTCCTGTGGCACGTGGATGACTGTCACAGACGTAACGCAGAGCAGAAGCCGCCAGACACCCAAGAGCGCATACTGCAGCCCATAAAACCTGCGGCTGTCCAGTCGATTCCAACTCACAGCCGCCCCCTCGGACAGAGTAGATCTGCCCCACAGGTTTCCAAGGCTGGAATCTTCACATCTTTCACCCATGACCTTTCATTTAGCAGCTGAGTGGTTAACCACTGCGCCACCAGGGCTGCTACACTGCATAGTCTCATTTATAAAATGTAGGTTAGAAATCAGGAGAGTGATGATTCTTAAGGTGGGTTAGTGGCTGGGAGGAGGCATGAGAGGGCTTTCGGGGGTAGGGGGAGCTACTTAGGTCCTCTGTTTCTTAAACCTGAGTATTGGTTGAAAGATTGGGTTCAGTTTGTGAAAACTCATCAAGGTGTTCGCTTATGATATGTGCCTTTCTCTGAATGAATGTTAAATGTAGAACAAAACAAACAGACACCAAAAAAAGCAAAAACGGGATGCTTCATAAATTCGAGACTTGCAGAGAGCCCTGGAAAGCTCATGGAAAAGGCCCACTCGCTACCTGCCTCCTAGGTTAAGGAGGCCTTCCTGGAGGAGGTGAGCCGGGGCTGGCCCTGGGAAGACGAGCGGGACTTTCCCAGGCAGGGAAGAGCGTGAAGGGTTTTCTGGGCAGTGGGAACAGCATGTGCAAAGACTTAGAGGCACGAGAGATCCTGGGAAGCTCCAGAAGACTACCCAGGGCATTTTGACCGTGGGTCGGGTGGGCACCAGAAGCAGCTGGACGTGGGGTGGAAGGGGGCTCTGAGCTGGAACCAGATTGGAGACTCCTCGGTGTATAGATTTTTCTAGGCCACCGGAGAATTAGAATGATCTGGAAAGGGTTTGGAGTACCAAGTGAAGGTGGCTGGGAGGAACCCTGGGGGGCCCAGAAAGAAAGAAGCAGCCAGAGAGGTAGGAGGGAAGCCAGAGGAAGGGGCTGTCCTGGAAGGTCTCCAGGAGTGATTCTGGGGGGCAATGCCGAGTGCAGCCGAGTGGTCAGGGAGGTCAGGACTGGGACGACCCGCTAGGGTGAGAGGAGGGCGACCATTGGCCCTTTCTGAGGCTGAGGAGGGAGCGGTGGGGCCCAGAGTGGCCGAGCAGGGAATGGAGGGAGGAAGCGGGGCCAGCAGGGATGGGTGTTGCTCATTCACTCTTGCAAACACGAACTCGGGCACTGCCTTAGCACACAGAGGGACTCCTCAGAGGGGAGAGCCTCCGCCCGGCCCGCAGCAGGCGGGAAGAGGCCCGAGGCGAGGACGCCCTGGAGGCCTCTCCTCAGCTGTCCTGAAGATCCACCCCTGCACTCTGGTTCTTAGGCCTCACCCCTTTTTATTTTTATTTTTTATTGTGCTTTAGATGAAGGTTTACAGAACAAATAGATTCTCATTAAACAGTACACATTTTTTTTATGACAATGGTTAACAACTCTATGACATGTCGACACTGTCCCTTCTCAAACTTGGGTTGCTTATTACCAGCTTTCCTGCCCCCTCCTGTCTTCTAGTCCTTGTCCCTGGACTGGTGTGCCCCGTTAGTCTCGTTTTGTTTTATGGAGCTGTCTAATCTCTGGCTGAACGATGATCCCCGGGAGTGATTCATTGCTGAGCTAAAAGGGTGTCCAGGGGCCATAATCTTGGGGTTTCTCCAGTCTCTGTCAGGCCAGTAAGTCTGGTCTTTTTTTGGGCCTCATCCCTTTTTAGCCACTCACTCGGGTCCCTGCCGTCCCCAGCCTCTCCAGATCTTCTCGTCCCTGTGGCTAATGCCTTGGCAAGGAACAGATGGATCGAACCATGAGACAAGTTAAACCCAGCCCAGCCTCCAGTCCTTCCCAAAGCAAGAAAGTCAGCTGCCAGGTGTTGGGAAAATAGACATCAAAGTGAGAACTCTCCCCCCACCCCGCCCCAGATGGGCAAGTGGGGTCCTGCCCTAGATTGCTGGGAACGAGGGCCAGGTGCAGGCTCCACGGTCAGACCACCCAGGTTCCAGCCCAGGCTCCGCTGCGTCCTGGCTGCATGGCCTTGTGCAAGTTACTCAACCTCTCGGTGACTCATTTACTTGTCTCTCCAATGGGTCCGTCATAGGCTTTCAGATGGTTCTGAGAAGAGAAGGAGGTGATGTCACACGTGGAGGGGTCCAAGCCTGTCAACTCCGCACAGTTCCCTGTTGGGTGCCGAGACGGCGGTGACAGCCGGGGTGGGGGCGGCAGCCATGATGTGCCCTTGGGACCAGAGCAGGGCAGTGTGAGTCTTGATCTCCCACTGGCTGTCTGGCTGCTGGCTTTGGGCAAGTTCCCTTCTGGGCCTCAGTTTGTCAGCCTACAAAAACCACAGGCTGTGGGTCTAGACGCCCGCTCTCCATTTCTGGGGAAAAACCAGTTGCTGCTGGTTTGATTCCAATTCGTGGCAACCCCACGTGTGTCAGACTAGAACTGTGCTCCAAAGGGTTTTTAATGGCTGATTTTTTGGAAGTAGATTGCCAGGTCTTTCTTCCAAGGCGCGTCTGGGTAGACTTGAACTTCCAACCTTTCCGTTAGCAGCTGAGCACTTTAACCTTGTGTGCCACCCAGGGACTTCCCAGTTCTGGGTAGACCCCAGCTTTCAGAGGCCCACTGGCAAATCAAAGGCCTGCAATTCCTGCAGTCCAGGTGTTGGAAGAGACCATCAATCATGGCCCTGAGCATCCACAGGTTCTTGCTGGCTGTGCCAAGGATCCAAGGCCCTGGTTGCTCTGTACCTGGGCAAGTTTTCAGGGTTGTGCTTGCAGCGAGCACCCTTGAGGGATGAGGTAACGTCCCCCTCCAGACAAGCTTACCATAAAAGCAGTGAATTCTGCAAACTCAGTGTCTCTGTCCTGCAATGCAGTCCATTGTGTGAGCAGGCACCCATGATGAACCCTTTGCATTGCCCTGTTGAACTCGGGGGGCATGGGGAACTGGTGCAGGATCACGCTGAAGCTCTGGCTACCGCTTTTACCATGAGTAATAAAATCCATGGAACAGTCACAGGTTACCTTATCCCCTTGTCGTCGTTGTTAGCGGCTGTCAAGTCGGCCCCTGACTCATGGGGACCCATGCACAACGGGATCAGACCGTGGTAATCCATAGAGAGTTTCCATTTGCTTATCTTTTGGAAGTAGATCCTTAGGCCTTTCTTCCTAGTCCGTCTTCGTCTGGAAGCTCTGTTGAAAACTGTTCAGCATCATAGTAACACGCAAGCCTCCACTGACAGACGGATGGTGGCTGTACATGAGGAGCATTGGCTGAGACTCGAACCCAGATCTCCTGCATGGAAGGACAGAATTCTACTGCTGCTACCACTACCCCCTAACTAGTGGCTGTTGAGTTGGCCCCAACTCCTGGTGACTTCATTGTGTCAGAGTAGAACTGTACTCCATAAGGATTTTAGTGGTTGATTTTTTGGAAGTAGAACACCAGGCATTTCTTCTGAGGCACCTCTGGGTGGACTCAAACCTCCAACTTTTCAGTTAGCAGCCAAGTATACCACCCAGTGACTCCATGGGCTCACTAGTGGTTTGTGTTTCTTTCTGTGACTTCTCTTGTCTCCTTTACTCATTTATTTTTGTGAGAGCAGAGTTATTTATAAGAGTAAAAGTCTATCAAATACCCAATGTCCAAGAATAGCCCATTTATTGTTGTTAG